AAGTTCTTTAAGGTTTAAATTTAAACATCCTAAAGTCACAAACTGGAAGTTGAAAACTCAACTTTATCATTTGCTCTCCCTCCCACTGTACTTGTACCTAACATCAACATCTAGCTTTTGCCAGTCTTCGTCGTGTGAAACCTCATATAGTCCACAAAGCACCTGCTAAAAAAAAGAATATGCAAGGCACTTTTTCATTCAGTGCATGGAAGATTTCAAGTCTGCAATTCTAACAGAAGTTCTCTCAGCTGTGATCACTAAAATTTAGTCTGAAACACACAAGCATAATGGCTGTGGTCTCAAGTCCTGCAGTTTTGACAGTATATGTGCTCATGATGCAACTCATCGGATCTCAAAAGCTAAACAGCATTCATGTGGACGTATGAGAGCGTTCAAAACACAAAATAAGTCACAATGAGTAGAGAAACCCTGACTCCTGGACTGCTGGTTGAAGGGAGCTTTTAAAAAGCATCTAAAATAGTTTTGCAAAACACAATGCATTGAAATTGCTTGAAGGAGCAGGAGCGTGCAATCGGCTGAGCAGTGACGCAAGGGCACGCAAGGAACAGTTGGTTAACGTCTTTGCTGCTGATTGGGACAGTCAGCATGGGCTTGTGTGACAAGCGCGGCGGCACAGCGCTGCTCCCGTGCAGGACTGCCCAAGTTCCCTCTTCTCCTCCCACCGCACCGAAAATGGGGCACTGTGAGCAGAGATCTGCTGGAGTGGAGGAACTGTTCCTCCTGCCTGCACATGAGTATTTTTGAAGGGCTAAACTGTAGCTGAAATGCTACCCAAACAAGCCACATAACTTCCACCTCCTATATGCCTTGCCCATCCGGTCTCTCCTGTATGCAGCAGATAAATGCCTCATTATCAGATTCCTATCCTTGCTTCTCAGTAGACTTAAATTATCCGGTTAAATAGGATAATAATAAACACTGGCCTTTAACTGCAGTACATCCTTGTTCACTCAGCAGCCTCCTTCTAATCTGATGAAGGGTCTCTAAAAGGCTACAAGGCAACACAAGAGTTAGTTGTTACACAGGTGCCTCTCCCCCACTTTCTGCAATGCCATTCCTACAGTGGCACGAGCAGGCGCAGGCTCACAAAGCTGGTTTAGGGGACCTTGATCACTACAAGAATTAACAGGTATTGAACCAGGGGCAAGGTAGCAAAAGGACATTGTGGATCTGGCCCAAGACTCTTCTGCTGCATTTCAAAGGGCAAAAGTAGTCCTGCGCCACCTGCTTGCTTCAGCACTCGGACTCCCAAACAAAAGCAGCCAAGGAAACCTTTCAGGCTTAGGAGAACAGCGGGAAAAAAGAGAGTTCCCAGTGGCAGAGTATACTGCCTTCGCATAGAGCGTGCTGTATTTGAGGTATTAGAGAAGGTCTCTTTAACAACTACTCTGAAAAAAAGTCATCTATCCACCCAGAATAAATTATATAAAGGGAGCAAGCTGGACTGGGAACAGAGAGGGCTGATCTGCTTAGACTTTGAATCCCCTTAGCCCCCAGAAGCTGAAAGTGCCATTTATTTCAGTGTTACAGGATTTCCTGCTTTTTTTTTCTTTTCTTTTTTTTTTTTTTAATTTAGTTTACCTAATCCCCCGGATTTCTCCTGTTGCAGAAAGAGGAAAAAGCCTTACAAAACAACAGGGGATAAACACGAAGTCAAATTACTTTGCTGAGCTCTTTCACACATCAAAAAAGAAACGGCGAACCGCAAACTCTGGAAAGCACAACGAGGATCATACCGACAGAGGACGTTCCAACCACCACCCATCGAAATGCAGCCATTCCTGTGGCTCCCAATTAATAAAGCCAAGCTTCAACATTCGCACTAGCAGCAATTTATCTGTGGAAGTAGGATGGCTTTCTTCTACTTTTCCAAAGTGAGTAAAACTTGGCTTTCTACCTATCTTCCTCCTCTTCCTCCAGCTTCAGCTTTGCAGAGCTGGCAAGCAATACAAAAAAGGAGGGAAGACACGAACTAGGCCGTCTGTCGTTGGAGGGTATGAAAGACAGTCTTAATAACAGCAGGAGAGAGAATCAGCCTATGGTTATTTTTGACAGAATTGGGAGAGACTCAGATTGCAGCTTCATAAACAGCTCATCAGAGAAAAATTGTGTCCAAATTGGAGAAGTCCCTTTGGCCAAGCTAACAGAAATACACAGCCCTTGTCTGGTAAGGCAGAAATCTTTCAAAAATCAAAATGCCTTTCTTCAAAGAACAAAACCAAACCACCATCCCCCTCATGGTGTAGTAACACTAACTTGCATTTTTGTCGTTGCAATTCATGGCTTGTAGAATATTCAGAGAAAACTTCTGGGTGATGCCAGCCTGTGAATGTCCTGCAAGACACACAGCCACGACCATGCAATGAAATGAAAAATGGATATTTTCCAGCATCACCCAACCACAAGGTCCCCTTGATGCACTGCTCTGCACAACTGGAGGTGATGCAGAGGGGCAGGAAAATGCCTGGCACTACCCCAATCCACCCAGCTCAAATAAAATAAACATGGTTGTTTTGTGGGGGTGTTTACACAGAAGGAGAGCATGGAATTTGACCACACCTCCAAACAAAAAGTCAAAACTCAGCTTTGTTATTAAATGCTGATTAGATAGCACAGGTGAAGTATTTCTCATGCATCATGATGACAACAAGACTATCAGACATTTTTCACGGCAATTTGTTTGTTTGTTTCTAACGTTCTTAATCTCCCATACAGGATCCTTTTTGCTACAGGATTAAGCAAACAAGGATCGCTCCTAGTCAAGAGATAGCCACAAGAAACTCAAGAGGTTTCTATATCTAGCAACCTTGCTGGCAGACTCAGCCAGGAGGAAGGTTTAGAGCCAGCATGGAGATACTCCTCCAAAGCTTCCAAGGGAAAAGCTGACCACCAGAGGAGCTTGCTGCTGTGTCAGGGAAATATAAGTCTGAAGGTTATTCTGTCTTGAGGATTAATTTCATTTACTCATTAAAGCATATAATGCCTGAAGTGACACAAAAGCATCATCTCTGCATGGCTGAAAAGGGTCCAAGCAAAAAAAAAAAAAAAACAAACCAAAACACCCCCCAAAAAACCTCACCACCCCAAAAAAACCCCAAACCAAAAAACCAAACCAACCACCTTTCAAAAAGAATATTGAGTATGAGGACTACAAGCCTTCATAATTAGTCTACAACGATTTGCATGACCTGTGCATAAGCCTTATGCCTTCCAGCTGCCTGACAGACAGGTACACTATAATGGAAAACACTACAGAAAGGGGAATCAATGGCTTTCTTCTGTCTAACCACAATATCATTCTCACTTCATTTACTGCTTAGTGGGAAGGCATTTCTGTGGCCTGGGAATCAGCTCTTTCTAAATGGACGAGTCTCAAAGTTCAGCATTTTAGTGGTTTAAACTAAGTAGGAGTTTGCTCATCCATAGCAGCCTGGACTGCAGAAAATCCAGTTGCTTGACCTCTTAATGCTGTCTTCTATCCAGCATTACAAGAAAAAGACACTTGGTGAGGGCTCTGTGCTAACAGAGTAGGGGTCTACATGCTACAATACATCAATCCTGGGAAATGGAGGGAGCTGGAAGCAGAACTACACTGAATTCTCCAGCCAGAAATAACTTCTGCTTCTGAAAGGAAAGAGCAGTCTAGTATGGGGACTTGATTAGCAGCAAGGTATGGTGAGATGAACCCACTTCCTGACATCGGTGTGACACCAATGCACAGAGTCTTTTAACCAGAAGCGCAAGCAACCCAAAATGAACTAGTATCACCCAAAGCACAAGACTGCTTAAATCAGGGCAGCAAAGAAGAGGCCACCGAGAGAATCCTCTGCCCCATACCAGGGCAAGGAGGAAATGCTGAGCCTTGGCAGTGCTTTGCACAAAAGCACAGGAGCACCCCAAGTTGTGCTGTGTGCCTCACACAACAGCAGTCACCTCTCACTGAACTGGAAATCTCAAGTGAGTGCCGTTTTGCACTGGTAGTTAGCTGCTAGCCCACCAAATCATTTTATGATATTCTCTGTAGCATGTGTGCTTTAAAGCTTTTTAGAAGCAGTGGCAGGAGTGCAGTAAGAATGAGTAACTACCTAGTAACCTTAGAGCCAGGCACACATGCATATCTAGTTACGCCTCTGAGCTGCACTAATTATTTGTAATGCTAGCAACACTTTCATATTCCAAACCTAAAGAACTCAAAGTGTAAATGAAAGTATACAGCTATTTAGGGAGAAAAATGCATTCTGTGAAACAAAATATTCACTTTCAGTTTACATGCAAGCATATGTTATACCTACATAGCTATAATACACAGAATCTCACGTCTAAATGTGCATAGATATACAGTCAAAGAAGGCAATATAGCTGAGGACAAATACTTTACATGTGTATGGAAAAAAAACGCAGGAAGGAAAACCAACCCTTTCTTTTTTAAAAATACCAGTGCCAAAGATCAATCCTTTAACATGACTACAGAAAAGAAATCAGATTTAGGAAAAAGGGCAGGGCGACTCTATTTTTTAATTTTTACTGTCTCTGGAGCAATGACGTAGCAAGAGCCCACCACTATCCCTTCTCTCCTCCTGTATCCTGAAAGTTATTCCCACCTGGGGTGCAAAGAGAGGAAACGAAAGGAAGTAGAAAATTATATTTTTCATGATCTAATCCCGGGAAAGTGACCGCTCCGGTTTCCGTGTCTCTTGGCAATAATACTTTAAACAAGGATGCCAATATTTTGTTATTTTTTGCACAGTTGGAATGCGCACTTACAGATAACAGACATTTAAACTGCGATTTAAGAAGAGGAGGAAGACAGTAATCAATAGGTATTCAGGAGTCCTCTCCTCTTAAGACTGCTGCATAGCTCAACACAGTGTGCTTCTAAACAGACAGCCCAGATGCAAACCTCTTCAGAAACCCTGAAGGCAAGCAAGATCATCAGAAAAAAAACCAAACTGAAAGCAAAGAGAGCACAACTACTGTACCTTTACTTTGGGGAGGGTTCTGACTTCTGTCTCGGAGAACATTAATCTGGTAGACAGCTCCATAAGGCTCAAAAAGTTCTTTTAACTCTTTTTCCGACCATGAACGGGGAATCTGTCCAACAAACATCTTAATGGCATCTGGGTCTGGTTGGTCTGAATGATCCAAAGCTCCATTCATCTTGTTAGCTGTGCCGTTACTAGAAAGTGGAAAAGGAGATTAAAAAGAGAAGGCGAATTAGGAGACTACGCAGTCTTCATGTGCGCTAGATGCAGAAGATGATGTCAACTGGCACAAAGCAGAAAAAAAAGTCAGTATTTAATTAATAGCATAAGTATAATGAACAAAAACCAATGTGATTACATTTTTCATTGAGTCTGGTTTTCTCTGCAGGCTGCTGCTTAATGTCATTATATAAGAAGAGAGTGGCACAACGCAAACGGGGACTTTTGCATTTTAAAGCAAAGGATAGTTGCAAATAAGCGCATATTTCCCTCCGTGGCTGTTGTAAACAGAACTGCAGTGAATTCTCACTAAACTGGCTACTGGCAGAAATAAGGCAGTGCGTGTGTGCGTGTGTGTGTGTGTGTTTTGTAATAAAGTCACATGAAAGGAATATGAAACATTTGGCAATCTGTCAGATGACTAATGCAAGATGCCAGCGATGAATTTGCAGATTGTGTGAAGCATCCATGTGTGCATCAAATTAGTATGATATTGCCTAGAATGGAAAACACTCCAGCTATGCGGCTGGTTGCTGCCGATTAGTTGCCTACGCTCTTTAAAAAGGAAAAGCAGTCTGGAGAGCTTCAGTTTAAAGCACATTGTTTATTGCACCCTGGTATAAAAACCCCACACGATTCCAAAAGAGAAGGCAGTGGCAAAATTGCCTACTTTGCTGCAAAAATTAAAATGCTGCTTCAAAAAGTTTTTCTCCCTGCAAAAGGACATTAGATTTTTGAAATTTTTCACACCCTATAAATTATTACCCTATCTGATCTCCAGATGTACATCTAAGTTTAAAACAACCACACACTTTTGCAGGGGAAAAGAACAAAAAATAACCTGCTCTTAGACACAAATGACGTATCGTGATTTAGGAAGAGTTGTAGTCTTATAAGGAACACACATCATTTTAAATACTGAACAAAAGTAAAAATACAAAAAACCCCTCATGCCATTATTGATAATTAAGGACAATCATTTCAACTAATTACTTGGCTAGAGATTCCATAAGTGATGATAATTTTTGAATGCTTCAGTTTCAAGAAAGAACACTAATGAGACGTGACATTTAGAGCATTCCCCCCATCTTTCCACCGGGGAAAGGGGGGAAATGGCCTGTGTTCAGCGATCATCGCAGAATTCAGGCATTTCAGAACCACCTGCCACTTTTGAAAAACTTGGCTTTAATTACAATTTCTCCATTTGATGATTGCTTAGGACAGAATGCCCACAGGAGGACCAAAATCATATTTCACATGTGAAAAAAAAAAAAAAATCTAAGAATGGCAAGAAAAAAAAACAATCTTGTGTAATTCCCCTGTCTCACAGCTATAACCTGTGCAAAGACAAATTTATTTAGTTTCATGTGTTTCATCTCCTTGAAAGCATAATTCATCTGAACACATCAATATGCCCATATTAACTTCCGCACTTTTCCCTGCTTACTGCAGGAAGGAGAGAGATACATTAAGCGCACATTTTAAACCAACAACAAGAAGTCTGATCATCACTTGTGAAGTGTCTTCAACATGGATCAGCAGACAATGGGATTTATCACACTCATTTATTAGACAAAATTTCTACTGATTCTAGCGGCAGTCTTGCCTGAATAAGAGACTGAAAGATTTGGTCCAACATTTTATATCACGTTTCATGCACAAATACCCTTTCTGGTCTTACACATGCTCTTCATTTTGAAGATGTTCTACAGGTAAAAACTGTATTTTCCACACATACCTGACACTTAAGCCAAACCAACCAAAGAACCACCCCCCGCAAAATCTCCAAGAAACAGAAAACCTCCGACTTACTCACTTGCGTGCTACTCCATGGGAACAACTCTCAAGACTTTCATGGAGCAGTAGGGTCCTACATGACATTTATACCTCTAGAAAATCAGCCCATTTTTTCTTTCTAATTCCTCTTCCTTTATGTAAACCCCAGTCCATTAAATAGCCTCCCTAGTAGGGGGGTGGAAAAAATCCCTGACCCATCACTTAATTAAGCAAAATGCTCACATACTGTTTTGGACTTGCGAAGACAGAAAAAGGTAGAAGCTTAGCTGTGCAGTGCCCAGCTTTGCCCTGGACTCAGTCAACTATTTTCTTTCAGAAATCGGCTTCACTTTTTGCTTCATCTATTCTCTATATTGTTTACATTAAAAAATTAATTGTGTTCATTTTTAAATTATGCCCTTCATCTATTCTCTCTGTTGGATCCCTTCTTTAAGAAATCCATACACAATTGCTACTTTAGCCCAAAATTGCAGCAAAGATCATACTTAACAAAGAATAACAAGTTTATTCCTTCGCTTTTTCCTTTACCCAAACCACCTTTACCACCAAGAGCACCACAATTTCCATTGCTAACAAGCCAATTTTTAGGAAACCACAAAACCAAACTCTTCTAACTGTTTTCTCAGGTTAATTACCCCATTAGCATCAAGTTACTGCTTTGAGCTAAAGGTTTAAGCACAGGCCAAGATCTCTTCTAATTCCACAAAATGCTTAAGCCCTTTCTTTACTTTGGTGGAACTGAAGTCAAATTACATTGCTCATACCCCTTATATGCTTTATTGGATAAAGACGGTTAAAGACTCTGACGCCAGGTGTAGGCCACCGTATGCTGGACTAAATTCCACCATCCACTGACAGCTCTCCCAATCCACTAACTCGTGCAGATTTAGGAAAAAACCAAGCGTAACAGACTTTTCTTTATAATCCTTTTCTACCACAAGGTAGAGGTTTCACTGCGCTGCCAACATGTTGGGGGGTTGATAGGCAAGTTCAGTCTGCAGAGGGCACTCATTTCTGCAAGCACAGCTGGGCTCCTTTCTAAATTTCATTTCCTTTGACTTCAGTGAAAACTAAGGCTCTCGAGCACCTCAGAGAAGGGATCTCACTGTCACTGTCGGGGTTTTGAGGAGTGCATGAGCACTGTCACAGCAATGGCACTTAGAGTAGCATCCTCACCGAGCTCTGGCAGTAGCCATAGGACTACAGCCAATGCAGACAAACTGAACAAGCAAATAAAACAAAAGAGAGGTAACAATAGAAAAAAAAACCCCGATTTTACAGATTCTATGGATCCAATCCCTGCAGTGTACTTGAAGGTTCCACTGAGGAACACAACCAGACAGCACACCTGCCTGATGGTTCCGTTGTCACTGAGCTTGTTGGGTCAATAAAAAATCCAGCCAAATATTCTTGATCCCTTGCAAATAATCTCTCCTAAAGATGAACTCCCTTATCCTCTCCCAACCTTCATCTTCACCCAGTGGACATGCACCAAGGACACCCAGTGGACATGGACTGCTCTGCACCAAGACCTCTTAGTCACCAACAGCTGCAGGGTTTTTTGTTACCTCTCTTTGCCAACACGATGGCTCTCAGAAGAATTGGCTCCTTCTTTCCCCCATCTTCCCTTCCTGCTGTACCCAAGAAATAACAAGGCAAAAGAGAAAGCCATGCGTGAAAGTTTCCAAGAGGAGGCAAAGCAATCCTTACAAAAGATTAGGACTATTTCTTGAAAGCAGGAGCATACAGAGATAGCTGTGTCTAGGGGACACTAATGAGAATGGGATCCCTTGACAATTACTGTCAGTACCCAAATGATGACATATGCTTTAAAAAAAAAAAAAAAAAAAATTAGATTATGTGGCTTGCTGTCTCTACACCGCAGCAATCCTTCCCTCCATGGCCAATTTAGCCCATTGGACTCAGGGGTGACCCAGCACATCATCTCCACTGACAAGGTGTCATCTATATTGTAGAGAGCAGCCTGAGGGCAGAGATTAAGCCACTGAGTCGCTGGCTGCTTGTGGTTGCTGCCAGAGCATCCTCTCTCTCAATTTGTGCCAATTTTCCTTCTAATAACCTAACTACCATCCCATCATTTCAGCAAGTTGACAGGGCCACTCTTTGAGGAGCTAGAGATTGTTTTAATATCGCTGCTGCTTAAGCAGGAGCACTGGAAAAACCTAGTAGACGCCTTCTCTGTCTCTCCCATTCATATCTGTAATTACAGCAAGACTGCTAAAAGTGAACTGACCGCTAAGGAGAGAGAGGCAGACTTCAGAAACAAGGTCTGGATCAAAAGGGACTCTTAAATTCATCACTGTTAAGAGCTTTGGCGTTAATCCACGTTCATTTCCATTAATGAGCTAGGTGTCAAGCCAGGTGCTGAGAAACATCTGTTAACAGGGACCAAACGGGTTTACACGAGATCTGGTTTTCAAATCCATTTTTAACCCTGCCCAGAACCCTTCTCATGGTTCTGTTTTGGTGAATTCATGTCTCAACCCTCACCCTATTTTAGTGGTTTTACCATTTTGCTGGGGATTTTCCTTTTTCATGTTCTATGGTATAAGACATCTGTAGGAGAACACTGAACTCCCTCTAAGAGCCAGCGTAACAAGAACAACATGATAACGAACGGGTTCCAAATGTAAAGACTACTAAATCCACCCCAGCGCAGAGGCATTTACAGGCATCAGGGGTTTACAGTAATAAATATTTACATCCGAGCTGTGGAGTCGCTGCCAGGATATCACACAAGCTGACAAAAGGGACAACACCCGTTTGAAGGACTCCAACTGCTGTCAAGAGAGACAAACAAGCATCACCTTACCGTACTCGAAAGATCATAATTGCTGGTTTACGAGCAAATTTTATCTGGAAGGACCCAAAAGGGCTCTATAAACTCATTGTTTATAGAGGAATGACTTCATCGTAAGGTGACAGACGGCAGCTGTTTAATGACATGGAGCATTATCGCACAACAATTTCAGCCAGTAAGGCTAGAACAATACCCTACCCAATTGAAAACGGCAGGGGGTTGCGATTTATAGACTCACAATGTAATTACCGAAACTGGATTTTGGCCAGCAAAATAAGGGCCAGAACCTCTGACAAACAAAAAAAGAAGCCATTCCGTATTTTTAAGCCGTAAATGACCAGGTCTCTGTGTTTTGG